TCCAGCCGTGTATTCCACCCTAACCTTAACCATATGAAACCTTTACATGTATGGATTCATTCCAAATGGCTGTCATGGAGCCAAACACGTAACATACTGAGGATTTGTCACATAGCATCGGTGTGTTACGAGCTGGGATGAGAACGTGTTGATCTCGCCTTTGGCTTCACCTGCATTACGACGGTGCCGAGGTAGGCCTCCCCAGCAGGATTAGTTTGCGTCGGGAGCACGCGCTGGGCGCTCCAAATCACGGACAAACAGTGTCCCACAGTTGTTTTTGTTTTTAAGATAACAGAAATTGTCAGCCGGCATTTTTTCCCCAACTGCTGAGGACAGTCTGCTGGGCGAGAGCTAACAGTAGCTACAGTACTGCTCCAGAGCTATACTGAAACTAGCACCACTAACAGCGGGCTGGGAGGTCAGTTTATGATCATTAATATGCAAACGGTCACGATCATTGATCAACACCTGCTGATCATTGATCAATGTCCATGAGTACCACTCACAGAGTGGGGAATGGCTGCAATCACAGCATTACTGACAGATGGACCCTTAGGCCCAATGGGCAATTATAGTATCAGTTCATATAGTTAATATATCAGAGTATTGATTAGTACAGTGGAGTCCCTTTGTGTAACGGTAGTACTGTGTTCAGTGTCCAAGGCTCTGCAGGAGTTTGATCTCGCCGTTAGAGGGAAGAAGAAGAGAGAGAAGTTCCTGAAGGACGGCAGGAAAAAGGAGCTGACGGTAAAAAACGATCCAGCATTAATCAGTACTCACCTCCGATCAATCACCTGCTTACCTGTTACCTGTCTGTCAGTCTGAGGAGCGTGCTCAGTTTGAGATTTTGAAGGCCCAGATGTTTGCTGAGCGAGCAGCCAAACGAGAGCGCCGACCGAAGAGGGCGAGGGCGATGCCAGAGGATGAAGCGCCAACTAAAGGTATGTGATGCTGTAAACACGCTAACAAACACACCAACCCTGATAATGTCCTCGCTCTCACCAATCCTCTGTGTGCAGCAGCCAATCAGAAAGCAGGAAAAGGAGGCAAGAAGTCGGTGTTTGACAAAGAGCTGACAAACACCAGCAGCAAGGCCCTGAAGCAGTACCGAGCAGGGTACGTAAGGTAGCCAGCTGTCTCGCCGTCTGTCCATCTGTCCCGTCTGTCTCACCGTCTCTCTCCCTTACAGACCGGCCTTTGCAGACAGGAAGCGTCTGGGTGTGGACAGGAAGCGACCTGGCAGTTCCAGGTAAGTTT